TCTTATCTGCAACCGTTAGCGGTCATTTCACTTGTCAAATATTCCTCTTTGCGTCGACTGTAAATTCTTCTTCTTATCAGCAGCCGTTAGCTATCATTTCAATTGTCAAATCTTCTTTGCGTCGATCTATCTGTCAAGTCAAGAGATACGGTTCTATGTATGTGCATCCAACAGTTAGAATAGGAAAATGTTAACTTGGAAAAGGATTCCTACAAGAGCAATACGACCAATTCGTGACAATAATGTTACAAGACTCTGACGTTTTCAGAGTAACATTGAACACATCCACGGAGGAAGCTTCAGCTTCCTAAGGAAAGGAACGCCAAACGCTTAGAAGGTTTCAAACAACAAGAAAAGGTTAATGCAAGTGAATAGTGAAATAAAGGTAGAAAGTATCGGCATAGCTCGCAACGAGGAAAAAAAATATTAAAATATGTATATAGGATGGAATGCAACCGTAAATACTTATTTCTCACTATTTGGTCCTCATGTGGATGTGTTATTTGTTACTCTGGTTACTCTGGTAACATTATTGCCACAAATTGGTGGCATTGCTCCTGTAGTGATCCTTTTCCAAGTTAGCATTCTCCTATTCTAACTTGACTGCACCATACTGGTGACGACCAAATAGTCAGAAATATGTATTTACGGTCGCATTCCATCTTATATACATTTTTTTCCTTGTTGCAAGCTATGCCGATACTTTCTGCCTTTATTTTATTATTAATTGGATTAACCTTTTTATAACGGTGCTTTGTTTTGTACTATTTCAAGTTATTTGGCTGGTTACGTAAGGCAACAGGCCATAAAAATCCAACATCCATAAGAAAATTTAAAAACATACTTTATAAAAGAACTAATCCGTATATATTTTTTTGTAAAATCCTATGTACTATTTAACAAGAAGTACTATTAATAATTATATAGTTTACAATCTAAATGAATGATCTAAAAATATACCTCTTCAATTTCTGCCTTTTTCTTCTGACTCTCCGTCTCGATTTCGAACACCTCCTCCTTTAATCGGTTTATTTGTGTAAGCAAATGCTGCTTGAGCGCCTGTTGGAACTTTTCAAGAAGATGGTGGTCGGGATCCAAGACGTTTAGTGACATGTTAATTTCTCCTCTCGATTCTTCCCCCATTTTTACACAATAAGTTGATATACGTTTTATAAAAATTAGAAAAGAATATGTTTACAACATTGATTCTACATATAAAATGTTAAATTGAAAGTAAAATTTGGTCGATAAACGTTTGACATTGCTATGGTAACGAAAACATAAAGATTATCCGTGATGTATTCGCTGTGAGCCGATGGGTAGAGGGGATTTGACAGTTTTCACCAACGCTGTTAGTGGCAGTTTTGTGCATTTAACTTGTAAACATTCAAATAATGGCGAATATGGATTTTTCAAAAAGAAAAATATATGATACATGTAAAAATACTGGGTACAACAGTCATTGTAAATTTTATTCATTTCCTGTTGCCAAGCATAAAATAGTTCAAAAAGAAAAATGGATTATTGCTATCAACGAGAAAAATAAGTAAATAACCTATAATGCAAACATGATATTTGTATGGTGTAAAATTAAAAAGCTATTATATTCCGAAACATTGCGTACATGCCCTGCATCAACTAAACCTTTTCGCTTTTTTGGTATAGCTGGTTGAAATGGGATATCATGTGATATAGACTTAAAACCAGTATAATGTTTAATATCCATTTTGATAAAATTAAAACAAATTTAAGAGGTGGAGGCCATAAAACGAAAGAAGAAGAAGAAGAATTAAAACAAATTGATATCTAAGCACTAAGGCCTACGCACATAAAAAATAACTGAGCAAAAACAGAATAAAAATGTAAAATAAAAACAAGAATTACAACGTTACAGAGGTAAGGGTAACCAGAATATAGACGTTTTAAGCGTCTATAACCTTAAATATTTACTTTAACCATTAAATATTTTCATATAAACTTCTTCTTTTTCTCAATGACCTCTTGCGTAAGTAGTCATCCAGTCGCAAGAACTTATATCTTAAATATTATAATTATAATGAATAAAATAACAAGGCGTAATTACTTTTACTATTAATTCTGTGTATTCGTTCATTAATCAGTTTACCATAATATTTCAGTTCATTAGTTTCTATTTTTAAATAAATATCTATTTTTCTCGTTTTGTCATATTTCATTTACACAGATTTTACAAGAAAAGTACAAGTTTCAAACCGCGAGAGAGCGCTACCGGCGAAACTCACAGCGAATAGTTGGGTTAATGAATCTTTTCCGATGCGTTGATATAAAATATTTCAGCGTTAATTAACGATAATTCAGCAATAATTAACCAAATAGATTTTTTAATAGACAAGATAACAAAAATTATATTTCTACCTATTCATTTTTTAAAATAGCCAAACAGTCCCTAAACGCAATTTTGTAAATAATACACAGTTGAGAATTTAATAATTTAAACAAGTATTATTAATGTATTCTTCTTCTTATATTAGGTCTTAGGCCCATTCTTCTTGGATCTTAAGGCTGTAGTCGAATTTTTCATGTTAACTGTCAGCTATTTCGCCATCTTTTAAAGGTTTTTTGCATGATTTTTATTACAACCAATAATTGTGGCTTAAATGAACATGTTTAAATAATTGTTAATTGTGTTTATGTTGATAGCCTAGAATAATATAAAAGGTTTATCAGATAAAAAAATATGTTAAGTAATGTGTTTTATTCAGATTTATATCGATGTTTACTTATGGGCTATAGCAGTTTTTTAAAACTAAATTATTTCAGAAATATTTTTATTATTTTTGGAAAATTTTGTGCTTATATAAGTTTTGACCTTTCTATGAAGCAAATAATCCGGTCTTTAGTTATTATGTAGACTATCGTTGACTGTTTGACCTTGTGTATGCTACCAAGTCTATGTGTGTTGGGGTTTCTGGGGAAAAACGTGTTGTTTATTCTTGTAAACGTATATTATGAGCACCAAATTAAATGAGTTGATCTCCGTTACGATTTTTTGTGTCTTTATTAAATCGCAAATTTATACTGTTATTTTCAACTTTGCGTTAAGACCTCCAAGAACTATTATCTTTCTCAAAATCTTCCGTTTCGTCTGGTATAATACGGAGTTACTGTTTTCCATAGTCAAGGTAATAGAAATACAAATTTTAAATACAATTAAAACAAGAAAATTGGAATATCTCGGACATATTATACGTGGAGAGAAATACAGCTTACTAATTATGCAGGGAAAGATCCAAGGAAAGAGAAGCATAGGGAGGCGTAGAATGTCATGGCTGCGCAACCTGAGACAGTTGTACGGATGTACATCAAATGAACTTTTTAAAACAACCGTCTCAAAAGTTCGAATAGCTATAATGATTGCCGACCTCCGCCGCGGAGATGGCACTTGAAGAAGAAGAAGAAGATAGTCAAAGTCGTCTTCAGGATTCTGTGGCTGATATATCCGATATATTTCTGTCGTTTACAAATTTTTCATGCAGTAAAAGTCACACTTTTGAGTTTAAGTATCTTCTTGTTCTAGTTTTAGAGTTCTTTCATATATTGAATTTGTGAATGGTCATTTCTATCAGTATCTCTTGATCTCTTTTTGTCCCGTTAGTTCTTTTTCGTGCTTAGTCATCTTCAAATATTTTTGTCTTGTTTCCGAGGCTTTGTGATCAGTCCTATGAGCGTATTTCTTTTTTACTGTGGCAGGTTGTTGGCCTCACCTCCTACCTTTTTTGTTCTAGATTTGTATTTAAGTATTTTTTGTAAAGATCTCATGCACTTTCTTTTTGTGGTAAATACACATTAAGCACTGTTTCAATCTGCGTTGTATTAAAGAATTTGTCTTCCATCGACTGAGTATTCGAAAAACTAATCAAAAAATTAAACAGTGACGTCTATCGTATGCCCTCATCTTCCCAACTTCTTTTTCTTCTTCTTCTTCCTCTTTATAAGCAAGTCTCCTTGTTCATAGGCGGATTAATACCTCTATGAAAGGTTGTCACCCCATAACTATTTTGACCACACGGGTCATTCTGTAATTCCTCTCAGTACTCTCATCTCTGTCGTTTCCAGTAGCCTTTGTGTTGTGACTGTGTTAGGTCTTGTTTCTGAGGTATATATCTGGCTTTATAAATTCCTAACTTCATCTCAGTGTTAATGTGTCTGTAATGTCTATAATTCTAAGGTAATTCCATAGGTATTTATCTCTGTTTTCCATTACTTGTTCAATACTGATGCCATCAATTTCTATTTTATATCTGATTGGTTCTTTTCTGATTGCTATTGTTTTAGTTTGTCATTATCGATATATGTATGTTTTAGTCAATATCGATGCAGACATGAGAAATATGGGACTAAGTGCTTGGTGGAGGAAGGCGATGGATAGAGACGACTGGAGAGAAATTCTTGAGAAGACTAGGACCCACACAGGGTTGTGAAGCCAGAATGATGAATGATGATTGTTTTAGTTTTCTGAGATGAGATTGTCATATTAAATTCTTTTGCTCTTATGTTAAATCTGTAGACCAGTATTTGCAAACTATCTTCATCTTGTGCTATCAATATTGGGTCGTCTACGTAACAGAGTATTTTTACTTCTGTATTTTTCATTCTGTATCCTCTTTCTTTGCTGACACTTTTGATGATTTCATCCATGATTAAATTGAAGAGCATAGGACTCAATGAGTCTTATCACGCTGCATATTTCTATAGGTTGTGTAAGTTGTCCATCTATTCTGACGTTCATTTTGTTGTTTTTGTAGATGTTTTTAATAGTGTTTATCATATTTAGGGTAACTTCTCTATTATACAAAATATGGATTACATCTTTGAGTCTTACTCTGTCAAATGCTTTCTTTAAGTAAATCAGACACAGAAATACACAGAAAATGGTATATCCCTGTCTTAACTATCGGCCACTATTACATTGTTATTTGTTTATTATTTTTTATAAATATTGAGAAAAATATTTGTTCCAGGATGTTATCTTTCATAATGAGGCTTACAAGAATAGCAGCAGCAGTCCTGAATCCACACCAGAAAAAGCAAGGAAGATTTTCATCGACAAAACTCCTTCTCCATCAAAGGGTTCTTCTTTCGTATCAGCTGTCATTAATGCCATTAAAAGTGCTGCTCAGTCACCATTTGCACTACGAGATGTGAGCAAGGATACTTTATCTACAGATCATTCCAGGTAAGTAGTATACACTGTATCAGTATTATTTACTACTTGATGTCTCATTGTCTCGTTGACGTGGTAAAGGTAGAGTTTGAAATCTAGCGAAAGTTGAAAGAGGTAGGTCGCCCAGTGAAAATCTTCGTATAGTTAAAGACTGTCTAGAAAAATATCGTGACAAGCTACAAAGTCGTTAAGAACACATTCACTTTTTCCCTTTTACGTGAATCATAACTCAACGAAAACAGAAAGTGCTTTTATGAGTTACTCAGTATATGAAATATGGACCTGATTTACAAAGAAAAGTGGTTGTTAATCGCCAGTGAAGGACCATTATTGTAGGTCCTATTTCATAAGTCTAATTTACAAATTCAATATGAATTTCATTTGAAAAAGACAGAGATTGTTAACTCACAACAACTGACCACTACCATGGATGCGCGCTGTAAATGGAACATCGTCTTCTTCTTCTTCAGATGCAAATCCACTAATGGATGTTAGCGATCACATTTTCCATTAATTCTCTATTTCTTGCAATATGTATCAGAGATTGTATGTCGTTAATCCCTGTCCATTGCCTTATGTTTCGGAGCCAGGACATTTTCTTGCGTCCCATTCCTCTCTTGCCTTCAATTTTACCCTCGATTATAAGTTGGGGAACTGGTATTTTTCATTTCGCATGATGTGACCTAGATACGCCGTTTTCCTTTTCTTGATGGTTTCGAAAATTTGGCGTTCTTGGTTTATTCTTTTAAGGACATCTATATTTGTGATTTTCGCTGTCCATGGTATTTTTAGGATACGGCGATAAAGCCACATTTCGAAAGCTTCTAATCTGTTTATATCCCTCGTTTTGAGTGTCCAGCCCTCTACGCCATATAGCAGCACTGACCATACGTAGCACTTAGTAAACCTTAGTCTCAGTTGAAGATCAAACTCTGAACAAGTCAGTACTTTCTTGAATTTTACGAAAGCTTGTCGAGCTTGCTCAATGCGACATTTTAATTTTAAATTTACTCACTCTTTCAATGGACTTAGTATTCAGTGTTATGGTGGAGTTTTCAAGTGCATCTAAGTTTCTGGAGATGATCATAAATATGGTCTTTTTGGTATTAATCTCTAATCCCATTCGCTTACTGTATTCTCCGATTATAGTGACACATCGTCGACACATCGTGACAGCAACATCGTCGGAGAGTATTAAATGCCGAGCAGAGCGACAAAAACTAAGTTCGATCAGTAGTATTGATCTGGCAAGAACTTCTACCTTAGCTTTAAGGTTTCATATTATATTATCTCTCCACCTAAGATGAGGTCTTCTTCAAATAAAAAAACAAACAAAATCGACTTGCTACAAACTATACTGTATGCAAAATAAAAAGACGAATTCTTTTAATTAAATCAAATGGACTTAGGTCCTCGATGCTGTTGCCTGTGAACAGAAATAAATGTTCGCGTAGTTCAGTTGGGTATGATGAAAGAAGTTTTTTAGTCAATACCCAAAGATCTGGGAGTGCCGATCAATACTTGGTCATAATTTACAAAAGCTCAGTGGTGATTTACAAAAGGCTTTTCCTTTTGGATTTGACCGTATCACATTCACTTCATCTGATTTACATACCGATGCACGTCATCGGCGTCATAGCCCGTGACGTCACATGATACCATCACGAAATATTTAGGTGGTAGGTGTGTTCTTTTTTAGAATCACTTTGCCGAGTACGCTGGCATTACAGCCACTAGACATATTTTATTATATACGCGTAGAAATAATATTTAAAAATTTCTATAATGTTAACTTAAAGAAATACACAATATGTTTCATTTAATTTGTATAAATGCAATATAAAGCGTTTTTATGAAGAACATTTGTTCGGAACATACCGTAACTATAATCGAACGAAGGTGAAATTTTTGCATAAATTGGTAACACTTATTTGACAGTTGCGGTGTTGACACTTTTTGTACTTTATTATTTTAAATTTTAAAGTGAATACCTCTTGTTTTATATTTTTACCTATTTAATAAAATCTTTTCTTTTTAGAATAAAATTAGTGTGTTTTATTTCAAAAATGTCCAAGTCAATGGTCAAAAATTATTGACCAGAAGTTTCTGATATCTAGTTATTTAGAAGTTTCCTATATCTGGTCATTCATTATTGCTCAATGGCTCACTTTTTTTATCTGCAGAACTAACATCTAAGTCCAAAACAATATATCTCCCACTCCAATGATAAATTGATAAAAATTTGCCAAATTTTTTTGTCAAAACCTTTAGGAAAAACCATTACCAGAACATAAATATAGAAACATAAAGAAAGAACCTGTTAATTGATTGAAAATGCAATGGACCAGAGTAGAGACTATTTGTTCTTTTGAAATAAAATACAAAGAAGCTTTATAAGATTTGAAATCTTGTCCATGGCTCCGAGCCAATTAGACCAGTTCTAACATTGAATAATATACATATGGAAAAACTGCAGGCAAGAGACCAGTGAGTATTTTGAAAAATAATACATGTTTAATCGATCCCTTGTATTTTATACCACCTGTACATAAAACTTTTTCAACAACTTAAAAACAACAGATATAGCAGATGATGAAGACATTGCAATATTCAAGATGATTTTTGTTTAATTTAGATAGAATATGGAAAATGGACGAAATATTGTGGAAATGAACAAAATTAATTTGATGTTTTTACTACTTGACCACCATTATAAATACTTTTTCAAACTCAGTTTATATATCAACAAAACTTGTTTTATATAGTTCAAAGGAACACACAAATAAAAAGTTGAAATGGTGTGCCTGTAATTTTTATAGCTGTATTTATAAGCCCCTCTATGTAATACCCAACAAAACTGGACACGCCACTTTCATTCTGACCAGCTTAAATAGTGAGCGAAGTTCTATGCTGGGACATACAACAAATGCCTGGAATAGAGAAGCTAATCATCTTGGCCCTCTTTTACTGCGAACTGTATTTTACTGCTCATATTAAAAATGTAGATCTCTTATATACCTTCACCATCTTCATCATAACAAAATATAATTTTTTTTTCTAAACTGAAAACTTTGCCCTTGTACAGTTAATAATTAACAAAATTATTTTTTCCATTTCAGTTCAAATGAAATGTTGGACTCAGAAACCGAACCATGTCTAATGATGGAGCACGTCCTCGAAGACGTAATTATTCCTGACGGTCATTCTCAGAATCTGATCTCTTCCGGTCACGGTAGCATGATGAGTTCCCGACTGACGCACAGCGAAAGTTTGAAAGATGTTTCTCAGACTATTCTGAGTCGCCAAATGTCTGAACCGACAAGTATGAGTTTCTATGGAAGTCTCAACACTTCGTACACTAGCGATTTGGTTTCGTTGAACGAATTTTTTCCTTCCATATCGCTTGTGGATCAAGTTATTGACGTTGATAATCTTATTACAAGGTAAAGTCGATTTTTATTTATTAAATTGTTATTTGTTTAAAAAATGTTAAATACAACATGGTACAGTAGGCAGTAGTTTTATTATTTATTTTTTTATTTTATGATTTTTTTACAATCATCGATTTACAAAGTTTATTTTTTATATATACAACGATACGAAGATATATATATATATATATATATATAATATATATATATATATATATATATATATATAGTTTCTTCTTTATTGGCTTCTGGGACGCGCCGCGTCGGGTAAAACCTAACAAGAACTACTGTATATACTAAAATGTCTATTTTCAGATTGTTGAAAGTGATTCGAATAATACAAATGGAGAACGAAGACTGCATGAATGAACTGCAAGAACAGAGGGATAATCTGTTGGAGCAAGTTGATAAACAAAAAGAGACGAACAAAGTGGTTGTGAAACAACTGAAAGATTGGGAGGTTCTTGGAGCCAGACTGAAGAGTGAAGTAAAGGAACTGATGGCTCAAATGGCCAAGAAGAATACCGAGATGGATAACTTGAAAGGAGAGCTGAACAAACAAAGGGAAGAGGTCGAGGTAAGAAGTAAAATATTATTAAATCTATGTTTTGTAGACTGTTATTTTAAGTAAATGAAGAAAGAACAAACATCTAAACACATTTTTAATGATTCCTTCTTTTAGAAATTAAACCAAGATGTTTGTGAGTTATCAACAGCTCTTTCTAAAGCCGAAATGAAAAACAAAATAAAGGAAGATGAAGTCAGTCAAGAAATTAAGAAATGGGAAAAGACTGGAGAGGTTCCTGCTGCTGATATTTTAGGAAGACTTATTTCTACACAAAATGAGGTACTCAACACAATATTTTATGAAGTTATTTATACAAATACGAGTAGATACTTTACATTATTTACTTTAGGTTAGCTTCTTTGGCAATAAATATTCGATGTAAATTATAATTTTTGATGTATGTGAGTAATATCAACTATTCATCTTCCATGGTGGATTATGTTATTTTTGGAGGAATCGTTTCATCGTATTAGAAACGGAATAGAAAGAATAAACCTAAACTGGTCGTTGAGGCTTTGATCATGAAGGTGTTTGAAGAAAATATCTGAAATATTACAAATGCGAATGTAACCTGAAGAAGTGAAGGAGAACAATCATTCCGTTTATTGTATCTTGAGAATAGGCTCTGATATTGTGCACCAAATTTTTTGGTAACCCTGTTGATCTCTTCATTGAGTATGAAACATCGTTTTGAGTGCAGTTCTAATGCAGTTCTGAGTGCAATTCTAATGTAATAAACAAGAATGATTGACCGCAGTCTTTACGCTATTCGGTTATTCATTTTGTTAATACTAATTATTATGGTGGGTTTCAGTGCGCAGTTTTTACAATAGTGGCATAGTTAGCATAGCAAGTAAATATTGCTAATGAAACAATACAAATAGCACTAACTGTTTCTATGGTGGGAGGAATTTGATGACTCGTGTCGCAACCGATCGCAATTTCTTTACAATTGAAGACCTGAAAAGCTAATAGATCGTAAGTGCCAAAAGTAAAATTGTTGGGAAAAGTAAAAAAAACTGTACAGTTTTTAACAGAATACAATTTTATTTACAAAAAGTGGTTTCAAACAAACAAGTTAAGTAAATAGATGGTTTTGTAATTTTTGGGCAGTTTTACAAAAACGAAACGGAGAAAACGCATTTTAACTACATACCTTTTCAAACATATCTAGTCCATTGATAGGTTTCACTTCTAAGTCCATCAGTATATTTTACTTTCTAAAGGTCTAAGTGCCATCATATAGTATTTCATAGTAGAAATTTATATTTTCTTCATCACCTAACCTAACCTAACCTAACATGCTTCCTTAGTCCTTTTTTGTTTTCTGCTAGTGGAACCTTTGTTGGTATAGTAGTAAGCTCCATGGAAGCTATGTTTCCATAGAGATATTTTTCTTGAGGACGTAGCATTTTTTGTCAACCCCATACAGTTCGCTGAAGTTTTTCTTGGTAAGTACGTAGCCAGGTCCGTTTTTATCAATCTTGAAATATGACACTTGTGGATATCATTAAATGTTTAGTGTTGATACACATTGCATATGCTTCGTCAAAGTTAAAAAATCTATCCATGCTTAGCACTCGGAATGGTCTTGATGGTCTGGCTGATCTAATTACGTTTTTCACATATTTAACAGTTTGCATTTTGCTACCTTAGATCTTTTTCTATAACTGCGATGTCCCGGTCTGCTTCAGAAAAGCTGTGACCAGGTACCAAGAACTTATGCTCTACAGACTCAAATAGGTCCAAAGATACTATGTAAATGTACAAGAAAACCAACATACGGTTTTTGACTTGACCACCGCAGTTGTCACTCCATACAAACAGTTTTTACACTACATTACAGGAAGCCATGTGACTCCCTCCTCTCCCTGATTGGCCTCATGCCATACACTCATAATACCGTCATTGGTATCGGTAATATGAATATTAAATTGTAGCCTTAAATAATACATATCGTTACTGTAAGTTTCGGAGAGAAATACCTTTTGAAGGTCAATCACCACACAGCAAACTCCATTATTAGCATTGTGCTGTCAGATTCATCTTTTTTTAATGTACTTAAGGCTTTTTCACTTTTCCTATGATGTAGTTCTAGCTCTGTCTTAGCTTTATTTGCTGCAACGACATATCTGTTTTTAGTCTGAATAAGATGATAGTCGCACGTTTTACAAGTGTCTACCCTTGGTCTTTTGAACGATAAATTTGGAAGTCTTTTAAAAATACTTTTCGATAGAATTTGACACTTACAACACTATCTGGATATTTCTGTTTAAAAGCAGCGAAAAGCCGAGTCATGTTCAATTCGGAGCTTAAGTACTCCCTTGGGAACTTTGAACGGCCGTAGTAACCCTCTTCTCTGGCAAAGAATTAATGCGGTTTTTAATCTGTTTTCTGGCATGCTCCGTAAATTTAACTGTAGTGGGGCCACCACGATTATCTTCAAAAACCACGTCACCACTCTTCTTCTTCACAGTAGGTGAGATTGTTTGAGATGAAACTACAAAAATATTTAAAAAAGTATTTTTACATACTTTAAGAACTCTCCTTCCTCATCAGGTACTCATGAAATGAGAACCTTGGTTATTCAATCCAAGTTGTTGGTAGAATTCCTCTTCATTTCAAATGAAACTTGATTGCATCTGTTTTTACACTTGCAAATTACCTGAAAGAAAAAGAAATGAGTTAGGGTATATGTTTTGTATATTAATGTGTAAAATGTGGATCGAATAGTGATACCGGTAACCAAAACCTATTTATTAGATTCTAATAGGAAACTGTTAAGCTATATAAACTTGTCATCAACAATCACACAAATCACACTATTTTGATAAATCTTTCCATTCTCGATCGATTTCCATAATCATTCAGGTCAGATCACAAGCCATCTATGTTCTGGATCGGATCGGGTATATATGTGGGGAGAATTAAAGAACAAAAACATAGTCTGTGACGGTAGAACCCGAACTGTCGATATTGTTGGATGGGCATAACCAAATATTATTTATCTATGTCTATAACTCGAAAAGCTAGTGGTTCGAGTTTGAATCAATCAGAGATAGTGTTTTATTTGATTGGTTTGAGTTTTAAACCAATCAGACGACACGTTTTGGTGCTGTTTACTGAAGATGTAGTAAATTGGGATAAAATTAGGATTCTTCCCATTTACTACCTTAATTTAGCTGTACAGTTGATAATATGGAGAAAATTCTCTTGCAATATTGTTTCTATTTACAAGCCGAAGTAATGACAACAAACTCATAGAAATCCTTCTCAAAAAAATACTATGTCATACAGTTGACTTGACTTAATCAGAAGTCAATCGTTAAATTGGCTGACACAAAGCACCAATCGATAAACATCTACAGGTTGACAAGGTTTTAGCGTTTACACTGATTAACCCTTAAGAAATTTATTACCCGCTCATCGATTTTAATGCATTTTCTGATCTGAATCGACATTGAATTTTGACAATGAATTGATCGACATTTATTTCGTTATACGTAATAACATAGCAAAACAAATTGATTAGATTTGTATTTCAGTATTACCCAATATTGTCTTCAATTGACGGCTAAAGGTGAGTAATTTATAAAAATGTGTTGCCTATGTCAATACAATTTTTAACTTAATCATGCCACAGAAACACTGATAGAGTCTAGAATAAGAATAACCACACTCTGGCTTGAATTCTACCTGCAAATAATTTTTTTCCACTTTTCAATATTCGCATTTGTCCATTTTAGATACCAATACTTAAGGAACAGTTGAGCGAGAAAGAGAAACATCTGAACGAATTGACGCAGGAATTTTTGGCCAGCAGACAAGTTCTGACCGAAAGTTTAAAAGAAGCTGTAAACGAATCTAAGAAACAATACGATGCGATCGATCACGCCTTAGAGGTAAATTATTAGTCTAGTACACTTAATTAGTCATTGTTTTATGTCAATATTATTGTATGGTAATAAGATAAAGATTAGTTTAGTTTATTTAGTAATTGTATGTTAAAAGGTATACATAAACACAAATAGCTACAACTACCAAGGTCACTTGCACAGTAAGAGAATCAGTTCGCTACAGAGTTCCAGAGGCTTTTGTGCAATAATTCTTTCAGTTTTATTTTCTCTTTATTATGTTTTTGTCATCCACGTCTTATTTTTTTTTTTTGTCTTGAGTTGTTTCCTAGAACTAGCTTCCGTGATTTTACTTATGTCCCTATCTTTGCTTTGCGTATTATAGTTTCTAGAGTTTACTTCTTAGCATTTTTTGCAGATATAGCGTCCTAAATCGCCGTTTTTATTAAATTCCAAATACGCATAAACAAACGAGAAGTATCTGAAGAGTAGAAATTTCAATAAGTTTTTCGATATCCATTTTTATTTGCATCGACAGGACCAGCTATAAACTTAAAATGCTGTGTTCTGAGCGCTAAAATCAGTATATCGCTGCGATTACCGTCAGAATGCTGCACAAACTCCTTTAATCGTGACAAGTTTGTGCTGATTCACTTGATTGTTTTAGACAATTTCTTTGATCTCGTAGGTGTGTTGTACGCTTAAGTCAAATTAGCAGAAAAGAAATCAAGCATATACTAATAGTCCGAGATATTACATAAATCGATAAACAACTCATATTTAAAAGGTACAGATTAAGTAAAGTTGAGTCCGCCATTTGCATTGAGAAAAGAAGTAGTAGGAAAATCCTGTGCCGTTGTTAAAATTATCGTATTTTATCGTACGGATTATTGTAATGTACTTATGTTTTATTTAACAAGAAATTAACAAAGTAGAAAAAATAATATATTTAATTTTTTGTAAAAGAAACAAACGAAGACAAATAAATAAACAAACAAAATAACCTTCTCTTCTCAGTCCAAATGGCGGCAAAGGCTTTAAACAGTTTGACAATTATGACTTATATAAGTTTGATTGCTTTGCTAATAGTAGTTTCGTTCGCGGTACGAGTAATGGACGCGTTTAGGACCAGTTAGAATCCTGTTAGTAATCAAGTTGTACGCAAGCGCGGTTTTTAATCAGTTCAGGATTGATTTACACCGCGAACATTCGAACAACCGTCAATTCACAAATCAGTGGTTTGTGTTTCAATTCAGACTTTGTTGCCTGGTTTATTTTATTTTACAACCTAGCCTGATTTGTCGAAGAGCTTTTTTGTAGGTAATATTTGAATTTATGGATAGATTTATGTCCTATGAAATGGGTAACTTACAGCTTGGTACGTAAAGATTGTTCTCTATCGTATGATTATGGTTGTTTTATAGATTTGAACGAGTTTTTATATTTCCAATCAGGACCATCTACCAGTGGCTACGTGGGTAATGTAGAAGATGCGATATTTAGTAGGTATAACAAAAACAACAAGTAAAAATCAAAAGAAAACGGAAAAACGGTATTTTTGCAATTTTTTGGACTCTGTTTTTTGATTGTAACCAGATAATTCACAACTTACCCACGAAATCAAAAGACGTAAAAAGATTTAAAAAATTATTAAATAATAACCTTAAAAATAAACTTTTAAACTTAAACAATACCACAAACAACGAAAAGTAAACAGTTAAGGCTGATTTATAAACTTTACGTTTCCGTTGGCGTGGGTTTCATAGACTGCAATTATAAACTCTCGGCGTCTCTCGGTTGTCGTTGGCGTTAAAGATCACATCTAAATTTCTAACCTTACATTTTTGATTTGGTATTATTAATTTTTCCTTGAAAATTAATACAATGGAAAATGAAAATTCTCGGCTTTTGTTAGGTGCAGTGGCACTGATACTTTGTATTCGAGCAGCACTGAGTCTTCGAAATAAAAGACAACGTCGATACAAACGGAGGCCCATTAACCAGAACAGAAAGACCAGAGGTAATTTTAATTATTATAAAAATATGAAAAACTGGGATACCCAGCAGGGAATATACCAGGATGCAGATTCCAGTATTTGAAAAATTACTGCAAATGGTAAAACCAAAAATAAATGTAAACTATCGCTCTGATGGAATTTTTGTTGAAGAGAGGCTTGTTATTATCTAAACTCATCCACTTTATAAACACGTGGAAACACAAACATAAACAAATAATTTAGTTTAATTTGTTTGACAAACCTTATCTCTTTATCTTGCAATTTGCTGCGATGACAAATATACAGTTTTTTTATGTTCTGTGATCGTGACTACAACCACAGAAGAGTTAGAGTATTCTGTGCTACAACGGCCAACGGCAAAAGATAAAGTTGGTTCATCTTGAACGGAACCGAGCGCTAACGCCAATAGCGAACGATGTTTATAAATAGACATACGAGTTTCCCATTTGACCATGTTGTAACGCGAACGCCAGCGCCAACGTAAAGTTTATAAATCAGCCTTTATAGGCACCAAAGCTAACGAATCAGCTGCTTATCTGTTTGAAGCTCAGAGCACAAAATCTATAAAAATGAACTTTGAAAAATGAAAGGCAAATATCGAGCACAATTTGAACAATTAAATCTTGCCCAAGTACTTTCGCTTACTACAGCATCTTCAGGGGCATTTCGTCAGATTTGGGCTATCCAGCAAGCGTAGAATGTGATAAGCATGAATTTTAACATACAATTGTACAAAACACTACACTAAAACAAGGACAAACAGTTTAAAATTAATTAAAATGGTTCTACGATCCACATTCTTTGTCAGCAATAGGAGAGAATGACAGGAGTCATTTGTCAAATCTGACAAATGACAAGCGACATATCAAGAGTCACATATTAAGAAAATTTTGTATGATACCAGTATGATAAAGGGTAGCTTTTATACGAAAAATCGGATAGTGTAGTAAATGGATTAGAAAAAAATGGGGCATTGAATTAAAGCTGTCATAAGAAATATATACAAACTTTAATAAGAGAAGTGTTAACAGTTAATTAGGGTATGTATATTTCAATCTATGCAAGTGGCTAAAATCTGAAATCAAGTCATTTTTAGTATACAGATGACTCTAATTAGGTTATAAGTGTTATAAATAAATGGATCCCTTTGACACTAAAACTAAAGTTACCGTTATGTTGTTATTGATTTCTGATAGTTTGTTTTGTTATAGGTCTTACACAGTATTCAAACCGTAGTTCAACAATGCGCACCCCTATCCAAACTGCAACGAGATTTAGAAGAAATAAATTTTCAAAGTGCATCTGCAATGCCATTAGTCACACCAGCAGACTGCAACGCCAACGCTGCCCGTCTAAAAGCGGTGGCCAATATGGAAATAGCTCCCACTATTAACACAACTGCCTAAAACGATTATCTGTCCTGTTCCCTCCCTCCAAGAACGAATACGCCACATTAGTGACGTCACGTTGTCGATTTTAAGGTTAGGTCTATCTTAATTTCAAATACACCGAGTTTTATCGTAAAAATAATTTTAATTAATATATCTTACAAACGTTTGCAAATTTTCAAACATCTAAATTATGTATTGAACTTCGTATGATATTTTAATTGTATTATTAATTAATTAAAAAGAAATATCCTAAGTAAAGAACTTGAAAAAAAAAAGAAACAAAATGTCTAATACTAATTGACTTCGACTGTACGAGTGACTTTAGTTTGGAAAATTTCTTTTGACGACTTTGGAATCTAGGCCGCCCTAAACTGACCTTTTCTCTTCAATGATCAAACGAAGAACCCCAAGAGAGCCTTGTTTTCCATTCGACTAACAATCTCGTTTGTACAAAAAAGGATAATAACGTCAATCTAATGTCAGATGGATTTTGACATTTGCTGAACGGGTGATACTGAATTTTGTATGGCACGCTTGTTCCATTCTTGCTTTGAGCTCACCCCTTTGTTAGCAAGTATAACTAAAGCATTGAGGGAATACAAAATAAAAGCAGTGAAACAAGGTACAGCAATAATTCAACACTAAGTAGCTGTCAAAAATGACAGCGTGTCGTCATCAATAATGTGGCGTATCTGTGACGGAAATATGGCGTTTCGCGGAAAAAGCATAATTTTGGTTATCTTTAAAATAAAGACTTCTTTGAACATGTAATATATAAGTAAAAAGTGAGATAGAATAGAAAATGTTTTGTAGAAAGAGTTTATGGGATACTTACCTATCCTTGTGTTATAAAAATTGTATTTAATCAGTGTTCCAAAGAATTTTAATCGAAAATTACTAAACATTTTTTAAATAGAATTCTTGATAGTCAGTAAGATCTTCATCAATTAGATATTCCAATACTTTCAATAGCCTTTAAGATAGTATTAGTCTTTTTTAAAGTAATGTGTTTTAAAAGCAGATAACAGTAACTTCCGAGTCATTCAACGCAAGCATAAAACCGTTTAACCATAATATGGTTTTTTGGTCCAAGTGATATCCATGTAAGGCCTTTATTATAAGCTTTTAAAATTGTATTTTCCTAACTGTCTACTTTGGTAACTTACTCAGTAGGAACAAAGTCTTTCAAGATATCTGAAGGTTCCATCTTGTTGCCTTATCAAAATAATAAATGCTTTAGATTATGCAAACTACTGGGTCCTATATTCTTGACTGTTTCTCACCACTTTTGCTTGCTTTGTTTGTCAACATTATTCGAATCATTCGAATTCTTAATATGCTATTTCAGAGTTTTGTCAGTTTCGAAAAAACTAGGTGACCCAAGAGAAAAAGACTTGAAATCTATTGTTCTCTGTCTTCGCAGTTTCAAATCCTGCCAGATTGATAATCTTTTTTTATATGGAAGGAAAATTATAGTGGAATTTTCCACTATAGTTTCTATAAAAAATAAACTCTGATAGTTACAACAATTTTGATAACGGTTTCATAATCTGGTAATAAAATTCATAGAAAAGAGAGAATATATTCGCAGATAAGCTGTGTGTGCGGTGTTGGTTTTTTTTTTTTTTCGACTGTGGACTTAATCCATTAGTCAAACTGAAAAGATAAGCTCCTAAACTTATATGTAACAGTTACTAGGACCTGGAAAAGGTCCTAGTAACTGTTACAATTTTATGCAAAAAAACCCTTAACACTCAATAAAAATATTTGGAACACACTGTATATAATTTGTACATGTGGAGATCTGAATGTAGATTATTCGAATTGTTAGTAAAATAGTGATTCTTAGACAAAATTAGCTGACATCAAAATTTAATGCTTTTTCTGCGTAATCCACGTTTTTCTTGTCGCCGCTCAAATAAAGAAGTGATATATTAAAAAAATAACTTCAGAATATTTAACTGGCTTTAATTTTACAATCCCAGTAACTATGTATTGCGGTCTTACCTTACATTGAAAAAAAATACGAGGGTAAAGCGAGAAGTTTTCTACTTTGCACTAATAGCGAAAAAATTAATTTACTGCTTAAAAAATTAGTTATTTTTCGGTAGTGTCATTTTGGTTAACTGTATTTTGTTCAATATTTCCCTAAAAACCAAATTTCTTCTTCGAAGTGCGGTTCTGGAAAGTTTTCAAAATATTTCCTTTAATACCGTTATCACCTGTTCCCTTGATCCAAAATTATATCCAAATACAATTTTTTAGTCAGAAGGATTTTCTAACGATTCAGACTTCTAATTACTTAATTGCATCTACAGCTGACAACGCAACTGTAGATCTTTGGAGCTATAAATCAACTAAAGAATTCGTTTTGCAATGAATAGTGAATTTAATGTATATTCCCAAAGAAATAATTGATAAGTATATTCGAAACCTATTACGATTACATGTTCACAAGATGAAATTGATGCTAGTGGTGATTTTTTACGTTTTCGTCAGTTTTGTTGCTTTTTCGACACTTGGTATATCACTGAAATGTGACTTATAGTGAAGAGTCGAAAAAAAACGAAAAATCTTTCGGTCACCGGTTGGAGTGACCGAAGTACCTAAAAGTCAATAGTTCCACCACAAATCATTTTTATAATAAAATTGCAGTTATTTTCAGAAAAAAATCAAAATTTGCAACAAATTTTTATAAAACCATAGAAAACACTTGTTTTAAAGTTAAACCTAACCTCAAAAAAAAATCACAGCATGATGTTATCACTAATATGGCATAGTTTTTGCCATAACCGGCAATTTTTTTTATCTTTAGAAATAAACACTTGAACATGAACATAAAGAGCCTAATTTGCTTTTTAGCTTTACAGTAAATATATCAATATAGCACAACAGTAATTTTATTTGTAGTAGTGCCATCTATAGACTAAGTCGACAACTTCTCACATTGCCCTTATATATTCCCTTTTTTAAAGGTATACCTGACAAAAAGTGAAAAAAGGTAATTTAGGGCCGTTATCTATAAGAATAAAAAGGCCAATTCTCTCAGCTTAACTATTTTTAAAAATTTTGTGATGTCATCCTCCCAAGGTTTGTGAAATTAAATAATTCTTAACAGTTCGAGCTTCTTATTAATAATTTTATTAAGACTGTTCTAATATGTTTGGCATAAATCAAAAACTTTATTAATTAAAAATAGTTTTATATATTATGTTGAACGTTTTCTAGATATTTTTCTTTAATAAGTTTTCAAAAGTAATATGAATAGATGTAGATATAAGGCTGATGTGTTGTTCAAAATATTTAGTCAATCCCTCAATTGGACTTCCTTGAGTGAGCAATTCAATAAAAAGGCTGAAAGCTGCCATTTGATGATGCATTTTATGGTTCTAGTTATAAGTATATCATAATAAATGTGTTACTTTCAAGAACAAAGTTGCTCGCGGCATAACTTGGCACTGGGAAACCTACCATATAATCAAAGATAACCAACAAAGCACTAGAATAAATGTTTAAAGAGCTAGAATAAAAAAACTAGATCTACAAAGCCTAATTTATTTAAAAGGCGCTAATAACATCAAAATGAAAACCTTTACGCATTGTAAAATACTATACAAAAGCGAAGCTTTTGAAGTTTTTTATATAAAATCTCATTATTTTCTTATGTAACTTAAATTTTCTTTTTATTCTTAGATGTCCCGTCTTCTTAACGAAGACCGAACTATTAAAATCCTATCATTGGTGTTACATGTCCTCGTCGCTATATTCTCCGACCTCTATTCTTTTGTTAGATGCGTCATACGCACTTACTTAATAATTGATATCGAACAATTTGTACTTTTCTGAATTAAAAACTTGAATGGACGCGTATTATATCGATGGTTGATATATAATATCGATATTCAGATCTATTCTGTAACTTTTGACAAATCGAATAGAAATCACCAAGTCGAATCGTAATTATTCGAAATCGGAATGTTGGATATCTATCGCGTCGTTTTTGTGTTTGGATTGGCATTCTGTAACTCACATCGTAATCGGTGTAAATCGAAAACGTCAACTTCTACTTGACGCGCTCAGAAGTTAGTGGCAACCCAGCATTGAAACGCGAAAGAAGTGTTCTGTGACGTTAAGTTACTGGAAAGGCTAGTGCTCGCGAAAAATTCATCAAAAAAGAAGATTATATTTCACGTCAAGTAGTTTTGATATGTTTTGGTTAAGTTTGAAAAGTTCGTTAAAAGAATACAAAATGGCAAGAGGGACAGCAAAGAAAAAGACATTTGCAAAAGACATTAGTAAACTTTATCTAAATAAATAAACACCACAGACTAAAAAATGAAGTAGCTACAAAAATTAATCAACCGCTAATTTAGATCAAAAAGTCAACAAATAAATGTCAAAACAACCAATGCGCAAGCGTCAAGACCAATTTCGATGTCGAAATTTGATCTCGACAGAGCTTGTCTAGTCGAAATCAATTTCTACACAACATTCCGATAGTAGAGGTCGAGATGAGTTACAGAATACCGATTCTTACAAATTCCGATCCGACTTGCTGACCTCTACTCGATTTGACTCATTTCTATTCGATTTGTAGTTACAGAATAGGGCTGAATATACTAGTATATTATATCGATGGTTGATATATAAAATATGTATGTCATGTCATTCTTCTTCACTTTACGGTCACAGAACAGCATAATTTATTGGCCATATTCAAGATTTTATTGGCTGTATTATGAAGTTTTGTTGGCTATATTTCTAGAAGTTTATTGGCTTCTTTGGTTTTATGGGATATTTAATGGAGAATATATGAAATAACATGATCTGGAGGACCTAACTGCAGCTGTCAGGAGGACCTAATTACCTAATTCGGAGGACACCTATAATTGGTAGCAAGCAGTCGATCGATGCTGCCATGATGCCATAAGATCTCCAAATTTTATTCACTGTAAAGCATTGGCAGGGTTGATTTTTGCTACTTAAATATTGTAGTTTTTATTTTAAATAAATATGTCTAGTTAAATAATTGTTTTATTTGCTATCAGCTAAGGGTTCATGGTTAAATTCATAGTTTAAGACAAGACGAATTCACACTTGAGAGACTGAGCTAGGCAAAGCATAGACGATAAGCTCACATGGTTGATTGAGGTATTATTTTTATAATAGTATTTCAATTCTCACAGTAACATATGTGTAGCGATAAGACTATCAAAGAGAATTGAAATACTATTATAAAAATAATACCTCAATCAACCATGGGAGCTTCTCGTCTATGCTTCGCCTAGTTCAGTATCTCAAGTGTGAATTCGTCTTGTCTTAAACTAGGACTTAAACAATGAACCATTAGTTAATAGCAAATAAAACAATTATTTAACTAGACATATTTATTTAAAAAAAAAATAATATTTAAGTAGCAAAAAGATAACCCTGCCAATGCTTTACAGTAAATAAAATTTGACGATACTTATGGCATCAGGGCTGCTTGCCACCAAATATCTGTGGCCTCCCAATCAGGTGGTTAGGTCCTGACATCTGTAGTTATTCCATAAATTGTTTCATAAAATATTCTAGGAATATCCAGTTACTCCATATTCTTCAATAGTGTTTAAATAAACTATCCAATACAGCCAATAAAATCTGGAATACGGCCAATAAACCTTAAATACTGCCAATAAACCCAAGAAAATTATGCAGACCATAAAAATATATATAGCATAAGGCATATACATATATAGCATATATAGCATAAAGCATACAGCAAAAGGATCAAGGGAAATCCATTTTTTGTACAGAGAGAT